CCAACTCTTGGGCTACTCTTTTACCAACGAATAGTGGGATTGACCGTCACATTATAACGCCCCCACGGCTGAAAGGGTTTTGGTGGGACAGGGATTCGAACCCGCGACCTTGAGATTGCAAGTCGAGCCTTAACCACCTGGCCATCAGTGTGTAAGAACGGAAATGAAATAATAATAACGTTCGTATTGTGAGAAACCAGGAAGTGAGAGATGGGTTTTCGACAGATGAGAAATTATTTAATCGTGAAACATTATTAAAACGAGAGTGAAAACACCAGGGGGGGGGGGAATCTAAGGTTTCGACAATTGACTATCAAGGTTATCATGGTTGGTGGCCTATGCAATCAATTATGTCTAGTTAGGTATTATTACATGTTTCTTATTTCTAGGGATTAATTACAAATTAATTTATATTCTCTGATATCAGCTTCTAATTTTACCGTTTTGAGGAAGGTCCTGAGAGAAACTGTTTTTGTGATGTTTAGGATTTGATTCTTGATCTTCCCGGTGAAAGTTTGATGAGATACTTCAGTGTATTCATAACTAAAGAATCACGTTTTAAAAATATGACTTAAAAAAGAAATATCAGATATTCTAAATTCTTCAAAGATTCATTTCCATTGATTTTTATATGAATAAATTAACATTTTAAACAGCTTTTCTACTTCTGAATAAATAAAAGCAAGAACGGTCAATGTTCATAAGAACTGACACAAGTAGACGAAGCTCACCAAAGAGGTCTGTATAGTCAATGTTCGAAATAACTGACACAAGTAGAGGTAGCTCATCAAGTTGGTCTTTTCAGTCAATGTTCGTAATAACTGACACAAGTAGAGGTAGCTCACCAAAGAGGTCTGTACAGTCAATGTTCGTAATAACTGACACAAATAGAGGTAGCTCACCAAAGAGGTCTGTACAGTCAATGTTCGAAATAACTGACACAAGTAGAGGTAGCTCAACAAAGAGGTCCGTATAGTCAATGTTCGTAATAACTGACAGAAATAGAGGTAGCTCAACACGAACACTGACTGTACAGACCTCTTTAATAACTGACAGAAATAGAGGTAGCTCAACAAAGAGGTCTGTACAGTCAGTGTTCGTCATAACTGACACAAGTAGACGAAGCTCAACAAAGAGGTTTGTACAGTCAGTGTTCGTAATAACTAACACCAGCTCATGTAATCCTATAATGTAGGTTTTACACAGTTTTAAGTAACTTTTATGTTGGAAGACATTTAAAAACAAATGTGAGAAAAACAACATATACAAGAATAGATCTTGTATATCAACACATTATTCAACCATGTTCCTACAATGATTTAATATATGTTTATATAAAATTAAAATCTCCCATTACACCTCTGTGTGTGCATATATATATACCGTTTACTAAAGATCTTTGAACCAGATTCTACTTGTGAAGGGTTGAGTACTAAGTCAAACGACTATTCATTTTAATTCAGAAATCAAATCATACAACAAGAGAGCCGTATAAATATGTCTACATTTTTTTACACATTTCACATTTCTTTTCGCTACAGATATAAAAAGAACCACTTTGTTGAAAAAAAGATCAATACACTATCTTTTATTATAGTCAGAGATCCGATAGACAGATAAGAAATTGTTATTTGAGCAGTAAAATTAATGGAAGATATTTCGAGTTTGTATTAAAAGGTATGTAGACAGAGAGCTACTAAACAAAATGTATTGTGATATCTTTAATAAGCTGAGTAGGAAGATATTTCGAGTTTGTATTAAAAGGTATGTAGACAGAGAACTACTAAACAAAGTGTATTGTGATATCTTTAATACGCTGAGTAGGAAGATATCTCGAGTTTGTATTAAAAGGTATGTAGACAGAGAACTACTAAACAAAGTGTATTGTGATATCTTTAATAAGCTGAGTAGGAAGATATCTCGAGTTT